GAATCACACTGAATCTATAGATTAATTTGGAAAGAACTGACATCCTGATGATATTGAGTTTTCATATCCAAGAACATGAAATATCTCTCCATTTATTTCTTTCTTCTTTGATTTTCTTTATCAGAGTTTTGTAGGTTTACTCAGATAGATCTTATATGTAGTTAGGTTTGTAACTAAGTAATTTGGGGGGTGCTTATATTAGTACTGTTTTTAATTTCAAACTCCACTTGATCATTGCTGATACATAGGAAAGTGATAGACTTTTGTATGATAACTTGGTATCCTGCAATCTTTCTATAATTGCTTATTAGTTCCAGATTTTCTTGTTGATTCTTTCAGATTTTCTACATAGGAAATCATGTCATTGGCAAACAAATAAGTCTCGTTCTTTCTTCTCCAGTACAGTGTTGAAAAGGAGTGGTGAGAAGGGGCATCCTTGTCTTTTTCTTGATCTTAGTGGAAAATCTAGTTTGTTACCTTTATCATGTCAGCTGTTGGCTTTTTGCAGATATTCTTCATCAGGTTGAGGAAATCCCCTCTATTCCTATTTTACTGATAGCTTTTGTCATGAATGAGTGTTGGATTTTATCATATGCTTTTCTGTATCTATTGATATGATCATGTGGCTTTTGTTTATAACCTATTGATATGATGAATTACATTGAGTTTTGAATGTTGAAATAGCTTTGCATCCCTGAGATAAATCCCACTTGGTTATGGTGTGTAATTCTTTTTATACATTGTTTAATTCTATTTGCTAACTTGTTTTTTGTTTGATTTTGTGGTACGCGGGCCTCTCACTGTTGTGGCCTCTTCCATTGCGGAGCACAGGCTCTGGACACGCAGGCTCAGCGGCCATGGCTCACGGGCCCAGCCGCTCCGCGGCATGTGGGATCTTCCTGGACCGGGGCACGAACCTGTGTCCCCTGCATCGGCAGGCGGACTCTCAACCACTGCGCCACCAGGGAAGCCCTATTTGCTAATATTTTGTTGAGGATTTTTGCATCTATGTTGAAGAGATAGATTGGTTTGTAGTTTTCTTTTCTTATAATGTCTTTGGTTTTGCTAGTAGGGTAATGCTGACCTCACAGAATGAGGTAGGAAGTATTCCCTCTGTTCTATCTTCTGAGTTTGTAGAGAATTGGTATAATTTTTTCCTTAAATGTCTGATAGAATTGACCAGTAAAATTGGTGGGCCTGGTGCTTTCTGGTTTGGAAAGTTACCGATTGTTGATTTTTCTTCTTTAGTGTATAGGTCTATAATATATAGAGAGACCTATGCGTACTATTTTGTCTGTAAGCTTTGGCAAATTGTATCTTTCAAGGAATTGGTCCATTTCATCTGGGTTGTCAAATTTGAGGCATAGATTTGTTCATAGTCTTCCTTTATTATCCTTTAATGTCAATAGGATTTGTAGTGATGTGCCCGCTTTCATTTCTGGTATTAGTAATATGTGTCTTCTCTCTGTCTTGTTAGCCTGGCTAGAGGCTTATTGATCTTTTCAAAGAACCAGCTTTTGGTTTTGTTGATTTTCTCTATGGATTTCCTGTTTTCAATTTCATTGCTTTCTACTCTTAATTTTTATTATTTCTTTACTTCTGCTTACTTTGGATTTAATTGGCTCTTTTTCTGGTTTCCTAAGGTGGAAGCTTAGATGACTGATTTCACTTCTCTCTTCTTTTCTAACATTGCATGCAATGCTCAAAATTTCCCTCTAAGTACTGCTTTCACTGTATCCCACAAATTTTGACAAGTTCTGTTTTCATTTTTTAAAAAGCTTTATAGCAATCCCGGGAATTCCCTGGCATTCCAGTGGTTAGGACTCGGTATTTTCACTGCCAGGGCCTGGGTTCAATCCCTGGTCAGGGCACTGAGATCCCACAAGCCTCACAGCGTTGCCAAAAAAAAAAAAAAAAAAAGCTTTATACCAATCCCTATCAAAATACCAATGGCATTTTTCACAGAACTAGAATAATTCTAAAATTTGTATGGAATCAAAAAAAGACCCTGAAAAGCCAAAGCAATCTTGAGAAAGAAGAACAGAGCTGGAGGCATCACACTCCTAGACTTCAGACTATACTACAGAGCTACATTAATCAAAACAGTATGATGCTATCATTCAGTCCTCACCCATCAGTTGATGATGAGGCAACTAAGATCTACAGAGGGCTGCACAGTTAGATAATGAAGACAGGATTAGTCCAGGTCTAACAATTTCCATTAAATGAGCTGTGTGGAAACACCAGTGTATGCGAGTGAGGTTTCCCTTTCTCCTGGACTGTCATCTGTCTCTCTGGTTTCCTCCTCTGTCCCTAACCCAGGGTCCACAAGGTAAAGGCACTTACAAACACCACTGGTTTACCAGTAGGCTGGTGTACAGATGCTTCTGCCAAAACAGTGAGTCCAAATAAACTTTTTGACAAAACAAACACCAAAAACAGTATGAAATGAGCACAAAAACAGGCACATAGATCCATGGGACAGAATGGAGAGCCCAGAAATAAACCATGCATTTGTGGTCAATTAATCTACAACAAAGAAGGTAAGAATATACTGATTACTGTAATTGTACATTAACTAATCTTACAAATACTGAGTAACCGTTACCATGCATCACTGACCTTCACTGACTCCCAAAATATGTGTAGACTGAATTACACACTTCTAAATGATACCGGAGACAAAGATGAAATCTCAAGAGAAATTTACAAAGTTTTCTTTTTTTAATTGAGGTATAGCTGATTTACAATATTAGTTTCAGGTGTACAACATAGTGATTCTAAATTTGCACATTATACGCCATTTAAAGTTATTATAAAACATTGGGTGTATTCCCTGTCCTGTACAATATTTGTACCTCTTAATCCCCTCCATCTTCTCTCTCCTCCCTCCTTCTCACCACTGGTAACCACTAGTTTGTTCTCTACATGTGAGAGTCTATTTTGTTACATTAATTCTTTTGTTTCATATTTTATTTTATTTTATTTTTTTTGTGGTATGTGGGCCCCCACTGTTGTGGCCTCTCCCGTTGCGGAGCACAGGCTCCGGACGCGCAGGCTCAGCGGCCATGGCTCACGGGCCCAGCCACTCCGCAGCATGTGGGATCTTCCTGAACTGGGGCACGGACCCATGTCCCCTGCATTGGCAGGCAGACTCTCAACCACTGCGCCACCAGGGAAGCCCTGTTTCATATTTTAGATTCCACACGCAAGTGAAAACATCAGAATATTTGTCTTTCTCTGTCTCACTTCACTTAGCATAATACCCCCCAGGTCCAACCATGTAGTTGACAACGCTAAAATTTCATTCTTTTTAACGGCTGAGTAATATTCCGTTGTGTATATATATTCCACGTCTTCTTTATCCACTCATCTGCTGATGGGCACTTAGGCTGCTTCCACACCTTGGCTACTGTAAGAGAGTGTATTAGTTTCCCGCTGCTGCAGAACAAATGATGCCAAAATGTAGTGGCTGAAAACAGCAAACATGTGTTATCTCATTTTCAGGGGGTCAGGAATCAGGCAACCTTTACCTGGGGTGCTCTGCCTCAAGGACTCTAGCAGAGTGGCCCTTAAGGTGTTGGCCTGGGCCAAAGTGTCACCTGAAGACCTGAGTGGGGCGGATCTGCTTTCGAGCTCACCCCGCCATGTCTGTTGACAGGATTCAGCTCCTCAGGCTGTTGAACTGAGTGCTTCACTTCCTCAAGGTTAGTTATTGGCCAGAGGCTGATGTTCCTTGCCATGTGGGCTTCTCTGTACGGTAGCTGTCAGGATGAGAGCTGGCTTCCCTCAGAGGGAGCAAGAGAGCAAGGTATGCAAGCTAGCAGTCGTTTTTTGCTTCCTGTTTTTTTTGGAGGCCTCACCACGTGGCTTGTGGGATGATCTTAGTTCCCCCACCCGGGATCCAACCCAGGCCCTGGGCAGTGGAAGCGCAGGGTCCTAACCCCTGGACCACCAGGGAAGCCCTTGCAATGTAGTCTTCTTAAACAAAATCTCAGAAGCAATACCCCACACTTCTGTCTTATTTTATTTTTTCTTTTAAAATTGATTTTTATTGGCGTAGAGTCACTTTACAGTGTTGTTGGTTCCTTGCTGCACAGCAAAGTGAGTCAGTCATACGTACATGGATACCCACTCTTGCTCAGATTTCTGTAAGACATGGGCTGCTTCACGAATTTGCGTGCATCCTGGCAGGGGCCACGCTAATCCTCCCTGCTCCGGTCCAATCTTAGGGTATGTGCCGCCGCAGTGGGCACTGCCTTATCTTATTCACTGGAACCTGGTTAGTAAACACAGCTCCCACAAAAGGCAGAGGGATATTAAAGAGCAAGGCATGAGGCCAAGAGAGGGCCACCGGGAGCCACGGCAGAGGCTTCCCATCGCAGAGAGCGAACCGAACAGCGCCTGCTCAGCGGCTTCATTTTAGGGGGTGTGGCTGGGACCAAGCACTGACACCCCCTCCACGTTCAGAACTGAGCGGAGGGCCTGTCTCCTCCCCAAGCCTCCGCACAGTGCAAGGGACGGGTAAACAGGGGTGCAGGACGGAAAGCAGCAGCCCACCCAGCAGGCCCACCGCCCGGCCACAGAACGAGCCCCACTCATGCGGGCCGGGGCGGGGAGAGGTCCGCGCGCCCCGGGGACGTCGTGGCCTCAGGGGTCGTCCCGGTCGTCCCCGCGGCCGCCCGAGCCGCGTGGGCAGCTCCGCCCTCTGGACGCAGTGATGCTCCCCAATCACTCACAAGCGGAAGGAACTTTCTAGACTCAAGCACAGACTTCTATCACGTTTCTCTCGCGTGCCTATCTCAAAAAAAAGCACGAACAAGGTGGTTTAATTCTAGCGGCTCCTTAAAACTTTTTGTCACTCCTTGAATCATTTTCGACAGAACCGTCAACGCCCCCGCCGGGTCAGGGCCTCATTTCCACAAGCACTTCGTCGAACTCCACACAGACGCCACCCTCCCCCGCGACCGAGGACGGCCCTCTGGGCGGCGCTAGCGCACCTGCTCCGACGCACGCCTATGACGTCAAAGCCGGCGCGGGCTCTCGGAGCACGTTCCCCGCCTGGAGCATTCTGGCCTCGCGCTCTTCCTCTCTGTCACGGTGACTGACTCAAGTCTGTCCCATGAGCTTAACCTGCACCCTCACACTCCGATTTGGCGGGACCGTCCCAGGAAGCCGGAAGCCGGAAGCCGCGGGGCGGGTCCGCGTTGACGTGCCGGAAGCTGCGGGGCGGGAGCCTGGGGCCGGAAGCCGCGGGGCGGGCGGCGGCGCTCCCGGAGGTAGCGCGGACGTCGCGTGCGTCCGGGCGGTGCGTCGGGCTGCAGGAGAAGATGGCGGTCTCCACAGGTCAGTACCGTGCCGGGCCGCCTGCTTTTCCATCCCAGCCCGCGCTGCGCCTCTGCGCGCAGCTGGCGGCCGGCCTGGCGGTGTGGGAGAAGCCGGAGTACGGGCCCCCGGCCGCCGGACTTTCCGCGGAGCGCAGCCGGAGCAGGGAGGGTCCTGGCGGCCGTCGGGGCGGCGGTCGTGCCCGCGCGTCGGCTGCGCGCCTGGGGGCTGGGCTGGGCCGGGCCGGCTGGCCCGGGGCTCTGGCGGGCGGTGCGGGAGCGAGGAGGGGAGCCCGGGCGGGCCGCGTCCACCTGGGCGCGCGAGGCCTCGCGTGAGGGTCCTGGATGGAGCGGGTCCGACCCCCTGGCTCGCCCTGACGTGGGCGGAGGACAGGGCCATTCTTACCGACTTAATACGTGTGGTCTTTTTTTCGCTGGAGTGAAGAACTGAGGTGCAGACTAAATAGAAGCAAGGAGCTAGGTGAACACTAATCGAAGAAAAAGCGGTTTCTTAGATTAGCTGTTCCGCTCCTCTCGTACTGAATACAGTTTTGGTTTCCTCTGAGCACAGACGTTGAAATTCGGTATTAACACTAAGGTTTTAGAAATTTGACCATTACAAAATGTTAAAGGGGGACAGTTTTATTACTTAAAACGTTAAGACGTATGGTCTTTAATTTTTTCTAATCATTATTGAACCGTGGCTGTGGAACACTGTGGTTTTGTATTTCATGCCATCATTGCATAATAACACGAATTTTCAAGTCTTTGTGTACTTAAGTGGAAGGCTTCGGTGTATGTTGTGATGGGTACTTTTAAGGTAGTGCCATTCTCCCTTCATTTTAATGAAGAATTGCGTCTTTTGTATCGCATGTTTATTACGTACAGGTGTCAGGATAAGCTGTTTAACGATTTTAGCGTTGGGGAGCTATTTCGGTACACTTGGGGTCAGAGCTAGCTAGTAAAGCGTGGATGATTTAAAAAGTGACATTTTAGTGTTAAAACTTTACTGTCCTTGCTATTTGAAATCGAGTGTGCTTGTGCATTAAAATTCCATGTCTTTTTAAGAGTTGTGCTTCGTACCTGAAGGTTCTTGAAAATTTAGTAGTAAAGTGGTGTGTTTCAGTTTGATTGATAATCTTCATTTTGTGGATTTCACTTTTTTATTTAAATACGATTTTTCTCCCCTCTAACGTTGTACCTGTGAGAGAGTGTGGAAATATTTTGAAAAGACCAATGATTAGATTATGTTAATGGCAGGTGCTCCTTGTTAACCACAGTGAGTCATTTTTGGAAGTTGACTATGAATTATAAAGAAGTTGCTGAGAGATTATTAGCACGTTTATTGTACATTGGAAGCCTGTATTTTCTAGTTTATATTTCAGCATTCTAATTGTTACATTTACGCTGCTTTTAAATTTATGAGATTCGAAACCTGAGCATAATCAGAAAGAATATCTTTTAGGCAGTTAGTTGATGTTTTCTTAAATCACTGAAATTTGTTTTGAAACTGTTGTTAAAAATTGCGTTGGCGAATTTCATATACCGTTTATTCCTTTTCTGTGCTTTACAACATTGACACTATCGTCCAGCTTGGGGAGAGAGGAGTGCAGAAGCAGTTTTGGACTATGTTTCGAAACTATTTTTAAATTATATTTTCTCTTAGTTCTACTTTTGTATTGTTTGCCTTTTGGTAGCAAGGGAGGGAAACAGTACCCGTGTATTTGTGAAATAAATGCGATAAAGCTTGAAATTTTAAAATTAGGATGTACTGTACATGTTTATTTTTGCAGTACGCGGGCCTCTCACTGCCGTGGCCTCTTCCTTTGTGGAGCACAGGCTCCAGACGCACAGGCCCAGCGGCCACGGCTCACGGGCCCAGCCGCTCCGCGGCATGTGGGATCCTCCCGGACCGGGGCACAAACCCGCGTCCCCTGCATCGGCAGGCAGACCCTCAACCACTGCGCCACCAGGGAAGTCCCATGTTTTTTTATTTAAGCCAAAATAATCTTGATAAAAATAGCTCTTTAATAGTCCAAAAAGAAAAAGACACCTGACAGATATTTTTTTTAATTTTAACTAAAGCATTATATTTTAACTTGCATTACCTAAATCATATGCTTTTAGTCTTTCTGTTACTGGAAGAAAAATTGGCAGGAAGAATTCTAACTAGACTGAGACCTCTAAGCTGACTGATATGATACTTTGCCATACCATTTGGTCCTCTTTGTTTTGCAGTTGAGTAAACTGAGGCCTGAGGAAATATAAGGTTTTATATAGTTGGTTAGCAGTAGAGTCCAGTTCAGAATCAGGTTTTTTACTCTCAGTCTAGTGCTTTTTCCATCATGAGCAATTATGAATTTGGAATAATCCTGAAATCAGGAATCTTACTTCCTTTTAGGCTTGAGAGTGGCTTTCATACTTCTCTTCCTAGCAGAATCCTCGTTTCAGACTGTCAGATGCTTCTCGTGGACAGAAATAGGGCTGTGGTGGAGACCCCACTGGCTAGGTTCCCCTTTCCCAAGAGACAGTCACCTCTGGGGGTCAAGATGATTTCATAGGACACGGCTTAAGAAACACGACTCTTTGGGATAGAAATTTGTTAGTATATTTAGTACCTGTGATTCAAAAATTTAATCACATCTCAGCACTAATAGAAGTATTAATGTTAGATTATAAAGTGTGGTAAGTCTACGTAAGCCATATAGGTGGAAAACAACCACAGTGAAGCCTAATTACCTTTTTCAGAAGTGGGAAGCATTATGTATACTGGAACAGGAACTGGGTTGGCTGTGTTTTGATTCCCCTGCTGCCCTGGTAGATTGCCATGCTAGGCGTGCAGTGAGTCTCATAAGCCTTGCTTTTCCGTCCCTTCTATGAAAAGTTTGGACTACATGATTTTGTTTGTTTTCCCCATCTTCAGGATGAAGATTTGTGGATATGGGCAGAACTTGGGAGTAGTAATAGAAGAAGAGATTTGCAGGTGTAAATCATAGAACCTGGAAATTAAACAATATAAGAGCTGAACTGTAATAGTCCAGGGTATTTCCCTCTTGAGACTTTAATAACAGGCCTGGTAGATTTGTCTATGTGAGTTAGGAACCTGGGTGCTCTTGACATATGTTTGCTCTTGATAATATCGTCAGGCAATACAACCTATCAGCAGTCCTCCCTTTGCATGGTAGTTTGGGTGGCATACTGAAACTATTCAGAGCAATCTTACTAAGTGAGAAAAATTATGATTATTCTGTGACCTTTGAAAATGTTTGCTGAAACATTGAAAATTCCTGGGGTTACAAGCATATAGGAAAAATGGAAAAAATAGTAAAACTAACATTTGTTTAGTACACTGTAGTTTAAACGTGAGAAGTTAAGAACTAGAGTGTTTTTGGTTATAAAACGCTTGTCAAGAGTAGTTTGAACGATGCCTGCCTTATCTTTTTATCGTATAACTTATGTGGAACAAGTATCTTTTCTGTGCTTTGGTGAATTGTCATACTCCTAAATTTGGATCTGCTTCCAGTATTTTGTCATTTGTGCTTTCAGTGTTAGGAAATACCTCTGAGAGTTTCTTTATTGTGAAGTTTTTCACTTCCTCTGGGACACGGTCAGGTCATCCTTTTCCTACATCTCCTTTCCTCATTTATGTCAATAAGCTCACGTTCACAGAATTCCTCTGCCTGCTCTTCCGGAGTCTCTCCGATGTTCCCACAGTCAAATTTCTTCTGTGACTCTCTTTACATTTGTTCAGATTTCACTTCCCGTGTTGCCAGTTCTTGTTTCTCTGCTGGACTTTCACCTTTGTTGGCTATTTTTATGGAATGTCACTGGTAGACAAGGAGGCAACTCTATTCCATGCTTCGCTCTCTGTTAACTGAGTAAGAGATGCGCAGTGAGCCTCAGGTACACACTGAAAGCTGTGAAGTGCTGGCTGCTGGTCGGGACTGCTCGTCTGTCACTCACATGGTGACCTGTGGACTGAGGAGCTAGCAGCCACGTGTGAGCTCTGTGCGCGTACTCATTGTCTGCGTACCATGGAGACTGGAGTCTGAACCCTGTTGTTGGGGGACTGGTGTCTCACTAAACCGTGGTAACTGAAAGTCACGCGTGTGGAAACCATGAAAAGCGGAGATTGCCCATATGTGGAAACATCCACTTAGCAAGTATTTGGGGAGCTGTTTGACGCAAAACTTCAAAATGGATGTGAGGTATGTAGACTAGAACAAATGGAATGAAATCCAGTGTTCAAAAGTTTGTTTCAGGGGCTTCCCTGGTGGCGCAGTGGTTGAGAGTCCGCCTGCCGATTCAGGGGACGCGGGTTCTTGCCCCGGTCCAGGAAGACCCCACATGCCGTGCCGCGGAGCCTGCGCGTCCGGAGCCTGTGCTCCGCAACGGGAGAGGCCACAACAGTGAGAGGCCCGCGTACAAAAAAGTTTGTTTCAGAAGTAGTTAACTGTTTTAAAAGAGCAGATGTATTTATAAGTAAATCTTTGAGATATTATTGTAAGATGGGACTTCAGGACTGGGTTTGGAAGTGTATTCTTGTTTACACAGTCTTTGCTGACTTGTAAGAGCAGATGTTATTTTCAGTTTAAGTTGGAACTCAGCAAAGTTTGAAACTACAGAAGGGGAGAGAGGTCCTTATGGCTTGTATAGGTCCTTATACATATATGGGAATAGTAGTGCTCATGGAAAGTACATTATGAATCATTTAGGCTCTAGGCAAAGTATATTTTATAGATGAGCGCTATCTAGATATGAAATGACTTTCACAAGATTACTTAGCTAGGTGCTGAGTCCAGAGCTAGTTTCTTGATTACAGGTTCTTTGATTCTGCTTCGGTATCACGCTGTGTTCTATAAACTTTTTGGTTGCTTCATGTAAGTGGAATCATACAGCATTTGTGTTTTTCTTTGTGACTTATTTCTCAGCATAATACTCTCTAGGTCCATCCGTGTTGTCGCAAATGGCAAGATTTCATTCTTTTTTATGGCTGAATGGTATTACAGTGTATTTGTGTGT